GGGGGGGATATAAAAGGCATAGTCCTTTCCTCCAAGAGTTAATAATTTAGTTGGGGATACACACAAGAAAAGTAGAAAGACAGCAGCAGGAGAAATGTCTGCCATTTATTCTACCAACACAGACCGAGGATATTTAGTCCATGCCAAATGGGTGATGCAGACAATACGGTGCCAGGACTCAGGAAGGAAGAAAGAGTCTTAGGAATAGAAGGAACTATGAAAAATCATTCCCACTGAGTACAAGGCAGCAGAGTTATCTCACTGAATCTTCAAAAAAACAAAAATGAAACAACCCTAAGAGATCACTTTAAGGCCATCTTTACATACAAGGAAACTGGGGCACAGAGAGACTAAGTACCCTGCTCAGTGGCCACTGGGGTTTGAACCCCAGTCTCTCTCTGCTATGCCTGCTATGGGCCTGGAAGGGAGCCCTCCCGGTGATGACTGGCCCAGGAGGCAGGGCAGGACATGGGGCAGAGGCAAGAGGAGGGGGCCGGATTCCCGAGGCGAGGTTGGTCGGTGGGCTCAAGCAAAGGAAGCAAACGGTGGGCAGCCTTAGCCGTGGCCCAGCCCCAGGTGACGAGATGAAGCTGACTGCAGGAGATGGAGGCTTGTGACTAAGCACACAGGCCCAGCCGCACCACCTGTTGACCCAAACTGACTGGCAACAAGAGGGACCGTTTCCTGATATGGGGGCGACACCCCCGTTGGAGGATGAGGACGCCAAGGCTCTGAGCAAGTGAACGGAACAAGGTCGCTCTGTGGTGTGGGAGCGCCCAGGCTGACCCCACTCCAGGCTGCTTCGGCAACGCCAAGGCCGGGGTTTTCCCACTTTCCCTCACCACCCCTTGGCCAGTCGTGCCAGGGGCTGCTGCAGCCCTTCTGGCGCGTTCAGTTCCCCACTGCACAGGGAGGAAGGCAGCAGGGCAGGTGTCAGGGGCTGTTTCTTAGACCTGGGTTCAAATCCCAGCTTTCTGCTTCTGGCCTCGCGCAAGTGGCCTCGTCTCTCTGAGGGTAGGTTTCTCCATCTGGAGATGAGGAAGGACGGTAGAACCAGTTTCATGGTGATGATGATCTCATGGCTGGGCGGGGGGCTCAGCTCCCTGGAGTCTTAGGGTCCACTGTTCCCAGGCCAATCCTCAGAGAGCAGAAGAGAATGCATGGGCTGGCAGGGTGGTCTTCCTCTCACTCGGAGACACAATGCCAGCTGGGGCTGGGCAGCCTGTGTGCTTATTAACATCTGATGACAAACCCAAAGTCCTGAAGGCTGACAAAGGGCTCAGAACAGTCGCACAACAGCACAAAAATCAGGGCGACTCTATGTCGAGGTAATTACTTGTTTTGAGATGACCGTACAACAATTAAAGATTATTGAGCCCTTAGGCATGAAAACAGAGAAAGGAAATGGTAGGGGACATGGCACCATTTAAAATATCTCTAAATGAGATCTTTGAGTCGCATGCCCCACTTCCCAACTAAGGGAACGTACCAGAATCTTTATGGGGGCAGGGGATGGGGGGAAAGAATTTCTGTGTGGTTTGAAAAAGCCTATTCACTATTATGATATAACTTCATAACTGGAAAAGGAAAAGAATACCTATTGTTTTTATACAACAAACTGCAGGAAGTAAAGCTTGACAAATACTTGGCTGGTGGGAAAACCCAGAAGCCAGCTGTTAAGAGGGTGATTCTCAGGGAGAAAGACACATCCGAATATGTGTGTGTGTGTGTGTGTGTGTGTGGTGTGTGTGTGGTGTGTGTGATGTATGTGCGTGTGCGTGTGTGTGTGTGTGAGAGAGAGTCAGAGAGAGAGGTATTTGTAGTTATCATAGGGGGACTTGGTTTTAAAACAAAATAAGAAGCCAGCCCCCAGGAATCAGCCTGAGAGGCTTGAGCTCTTCACTAAGCACCTAATCTGCTAGGCACACTGCAAGGTACCCAGGTGGTACTTAAGCAACAATCACTTGATTATTTAACTATTACTGGTTTATAGATGCTTTACCAACTATCCTTGGCCTAGCAGGTGCTTAATGTACATTTGATTAATTAATACATGGTTTCCAGGCCCCCCTAATCTCCTGTCAACACGTTCAAAACTCAGCTCAGGCTCCCTCTCCTCGGGGAAAACTTCCCAGACCCTCATCCTTCTCTGTGCCCCTTGGCTGCCTGGGTGTCCGCGATCTGAGCACAGGCCATGCTATGTCATGGCCGTCTCCTTGCCTACATCCCCCGCTAGAATGTGAGCCTGAGGGTAGAGCCAGCATCTTACTTGCATTTATAGTTCCTTTGCCTAGCATTGAACTTGGCACCTAGCAGCTATCCAACACATGGTTGTTTTGGGGTTTTTTTTGCGGTACGCAGGCCTCTCACTGTTGTGGCCTCTCCCACTGCGGAGCACAGGCTCCGGATGCGCAGGCTCAGCGGCCATGGCTCACGGGCCCAGCCGCTCCGCGGCATGTGGGATCTTCCCGGACTGGGGCATGAACCCGTGTCCCCTGCATCCACAGGCGGACTCCCAACCACTGCGCCACCAGGGAAGCCCCCCAGTACATGTTTGTTGAATGAATGAATGGCTGAGTGAATAAAAGAGCTTCGTCCAGGCCTTGGTCACCACCTGTGGATGCAGCAGATATCTCTTCCCTTTAGGACGTGCATGATCCGTCGAGCAGGTCCCAGATCTAGCTCACAGACACTCGTCTGGATGGTGCCTGGCCTCGACACTAAGTAAGACACTCCAGAATATTTTCCAGAGAATTTATCGTTTGTTTTGCTGTCACTGCTTGCAAAGCATCTGTAAGTTTCTGTAAAGGATGGTGCAGCAGGAAGGTGGATAAATATGTATTTAAGTGCCCAGACATAATTTAAAGGTGAGTCTTTCAGAATCATCAGAATTTGCATTGACTGATGTTTGCACAAATGTGGCTGATGCCAGCCAGCACCTGCTGCTGGGTAATGAGGTTATTGTCAATATCTGGGGAGGCCTCTGCTTTCCCAGGCCCAGGCAGCTGACAAAGACACATGAATTGGCTCAAGGGTCACCGGATCCCCGGCCCAGCTCCACCCTGGGGGAAGAATTCCCCTCACCCAGGTCCAGCCTGGGGAACCTTCTGCAGCCCCGAGGTGGAAGGGACAGACAGAAGCAGGATTCCTCCCTGCGGGCCCCACCTGGCAATGACAGAACTGTTTGGGGCCCAACCACTAGAAGCCAGGCCTTGGGGGCTCCCTTCTGGTTTCTGATGGAGAAACAGCCTGGGAACTCCTAGGGGCAATCTCAGGGCAATACTGCCTGCTGGAGTCTAGCCTGCTCCCCGTTCACAGGGCCAAGAGCTGGGCAGACGAGGCTGGCTAGGGCCTATACTTCCAGGCAGGGTGCTCTGAACTAAACCTGACTTAGGATGAAGCAAGATGGCGGCTGCAGCAGGACTTCCCTGGTGGTCCAGTGGTTAAGGCTCCGCGCTTCCAATGCAGTGGGCACGTGTTCGATCCCTGGTCGGGGAACTAAGATCCCACATGCCTTGTGGTGTGGCCAAAAAAAAAAAAAAAGGAAGATGGCAGCTGCAGGACTAGGGTGATCAGTAGAGAAAGACTGTTCCCACTTAATCCTCCTTCTTGCTCTTTGTTCATTCAATCGTTTACTTATTCATTTTGCAAAGAATTTGCACATCTATGGCATGCAGGCACTATGCTCAGCACACATGGTTAAGAAATCATTAATTAATTAATCAGATATGCATTAATCACCTGCTGTGCTGGGCGCACTTGGTAAAAATCTACAAATCATTAAATAGTTAAACAATTAAGCGATTATTTCTTAGGTACCACTTAGGCACCTGACATAGATTAAGTTCTCATTAAATGTTTGTGGAAGGAATAATGAATGAATGAATGAGTGATTGATCCAGGAGCGATGTAAGGATGACTCAGATGAAGTCCTGCCCTCCCTCCAGGCCTCCAAATCCCTTCCTCATTCCAGTGCAGCATGGCCACCCACGCAGGCCAGGAAATTCACAGTGGAGAAGGCTCAACAAAACCTGCAGTTGATGTTCCCCGATCCTCTGAAGGTTCACGATGGCTCTGATGGGATGAGTACCAGGTGACCGAGTTGATGGGGTTAAACTCTTGGCAGAGCCCCAGAGGCTACTCAAGCAGGTGGCCTACTGTCAGCAGAAAGCTGGATCTTGGGGCCCAGGGGAGAGATCCTGGAATTGACTGGACTCCCATCCTTATTTTTAACTTGGATCTGCCCTTTCCAGGTCCATAAGAGCTTATGGATCATTGATTCTGTGTAAGGCACTTGCTACATATACTCAGCCAGACACAGAGAACCAGCCTCAGGCCGCTGACAGTGGGATTGAAGTGGGGTCTGATCATATACAAGGTAGGACAGAGAAATGAGATGACAGAGGTACACAAAGGTCCCTGGCTCACAGAAGGACAGCTTTTCTGGGAGCACTAACCCACACTGGAGTGCACCATGAATTACAAAGCCTGAGCTCTGGGGCCCGCCAGCCCATGGTTGAACTCCAGCTGCCCCACTCCCTCTCGCACTAGCCACGTGACCTTGGACAAGTTACTCAGCGCCACTGCCTCAGTTCCCTTGTGCGGAAAACAGGGCCAGAAGCAACCACACCTCACAGGGCTGCTGTGAGGAGGCAATGAGATTACATCCGTAAAGGAGAGGCCTGGTATTTGGTACATGGAAAGTATTCAGCAAACGGAAGCCATTATTGCTATTTTGTTGGAACTAAGGATGGAGGACAGGGCCAGCCCGTGTGTTGAACCAGCCCACATCCTAACAATAATAGTACCTGGAGCTAAGGCTAGAGAAGGCCTATTGGGCACCAGGTATGTGATAGACATCATCTCGAATCCTCAGAGACATCCCCAAACTGAGCACTATTTTCTCCATTTAAAGTAGAGAAGACAGAGGCTCTGAGAGATTGAGTGACTTGTCCAAGGTCACATGGACAATAAGTTGCCCAGCCAGGATTTGAACTCATGTCCTTCTGACCCCCAAACCTTAACATCACCCATCTGCCCAGCTCCCAGGTCTTGGTCTGTTGCAGCAACCCCAGCCTCCAGACCCAGCTCTCTCCTTGGCCTCGGAGGCCAGTCCTGGCTTGAGCAGGGAAGCCCCTTTATACAAGTGGACACAGCCTGGGGCAGGAGTGAGTGAAGCCCATCATGCAACACGGGTGCACCTACTTGTCCGGTACTGGATGCCTAGCGCTGCCAAGCAGGCCACCATTCCTGCCGCCAGAAGTACCACCAGCATCACCAGCCGCTTCTCCAGCTGCGTCCGTGCGGCCCAGCACCTCTGGCCATTCCGGGGGCTTCGGAAGTTCACCTGTAGGGAAGGAGACAGGCGGGGCGAGGAGAACGTGAACCCAGGGCCCCCACTACCCAGGAGGAGGGGGCTCCACGGCAGAACCCAGCCCTGGGGAGACACCAGGGCTGCCTGATGTCCCCTCCTGCCTCAGGGGTGGTCTGGTTCCCATGGAATCAGTCCTAATCCAGGAAAGGAACCAGCACCCTGCTCGGCAGCTCAGATTCGCTGCTAAACATCCGAGTCAAGCAGTCAGCCCAGCTGGGCTTGTGTTTTTTGTGTCACCTGATACGGGTAGAAGAAAAAAAAAAAGATCAGCTTTTCCCTGTTTCTCCAGTAAGGAGTTCAAAAAAAACCCAGGATGTTTGGACTCGCAGGCATCCAGCAGACATCCAGCTGGGCTCTCTTCAGAGTCCCAGCTTCAACAGGCCGGGGGTGACACAACCCCCATGATAACCCAACCACAGTGCATACTTCCCAGGGGCACAGACAGCCTTAGCTGTCGAAACTGTCATAATCCCATGAGGGCTGTGTTCTTAGTTTCTTTTTACAAATGAGGAAACCGAAGTCCGGAGAGGTGAGACCCTTGCCTCTCATCACACAGCTAAATGGGTAGAGCTCGGATTTGAGCCCAAGTGTATTGATTCTAGAGCCTGCCTGTGGGTCAGAGATTAGAGTCTTGGGAGATGTCAGGGGAGATGCAATGGAGAAATAGCTCCATTGGAGCAGGTCCTCAAAGGGAGGAAAAAATGTCCTCAGCCTAACAGCACAGCTAAACAGGAAAGGAGGCACAATGGGAGGAAGTGGAGGGTGTGACAGGGCCTTCCAGGCTGAGGAGGAACCCACCAGTCTATAGCACTCAGAGTCCTCGGCCCGGCCCTCAGACCCAAGGCCAGCTGGGGGCTCCCCTCTGTTCTACGAGGTGCTTCCTGCAAAAGCCAGGGCCGCGGGACAGGAAGGGTCCCCTGAAGGTGGGGTTCAGTTTAGTGACATTGTGGCCAACAGTCGAGCACCAACTCAGGGCCACATTGGAAAGACCGAGGGGAAAGATAGACTCCCTTGCTTTCAGCTGCTCACTGCCCAGCAGAGAGGCAGATAAAGAAACAGACTGGGGTGGGCAGAGGTTCAGTCTGGGAAGGCTTCCTAGAGGTGGGGATGCCTGGGCTGGGTCTAGAAGCTGGCCAGGTGAATGGGGAGGGGAAGGGAAAAGGGGGGCCTGGATCCTAAGGGGTGCTGTAAGCCAGGTGAAAGACTGGGGACTTCCTCCTGAGGGCTGGAGTGATACGATTAGATTTACCCTTTGGAAAAGTCATGGTGGCAGGAGCAAGGCTTGGAGGGGAGCAGGCATGCAGGCAGGGAGACCCACAGCCTGCCAGGAGGTGAAGGGGGTGATGTCAGGGGAGATGAGGAGACCCAGCCTCTGACCTGCGAGTGCCCCCCGACAGCTGAGGGGATGGCGGCCCCTAGGAGCAGGTCACAGCCTTCAGGGAGCCTCACACTGGCGCCTGGGGAATCTGAGGCTGGTCACCTTAGGGAAGGGCATTGAACAGCCTCACGGTCGTCACTGGATATTTTGTGAACAGAAAATGACTGGGGGGGCTTCCCTGGTGGTGCAGTGGTTGGGAGTCCGCCTGCCGATGCAGGGGACACGGGTTCGTGCCCCGGTCCGGGAGGATCCCACGTGCCGCGGAGTGGCTGAGCCTGTGAGCCATGGCCGCTGAGCCTGCGTGTCTGGAGCCTGTGCTCCACAACGGGAGAGGCCACAGCAGTGAGAGGTCCGCGTACAGCAAAAAGGCGAAACGTCTAGATCGGAAGAAAATGACTGGGGGTTACTGCTCTAGAGAAGGAGGAAGACAAGAACTTTTTGTGGAAAAAAAAAAAAGTGGGTCCTACAACCGAGAAAAGGAACTTGAGGCTTGGTGACAATGCTGTGGAGGTCCGGGAGGTTCGGACACAGAAGAAGCTGTGTCAGGCGGGGGTCGGGGCGGGTTGCCTCCTGGAATCCCTTAAGAACCTTTTTAAAAACGTGAGACATGAAGATTCTGACCACGCTACTGGTGCAGACACAGCCTGGGATGATGCTGACATGCTCACAGCAATCGACGTCTATAAAGTGCTTTTTCAGAGGCATCAATTCTCTCACGCAGTTTACCCCGGGCACCGGTATCTCAGAGGGCCCTCAAAGGATTTGCCCTGTCTGGGGATGCTGACGTTTGCTTTTCCTGGGCCCCTGAGCTGGTCTCGCCTTCTGCCTCCCACTCTGGGCCTCTCAGTGCCCCCATTACCAAGGCTCAGTTCGTGGGGGGAGAGGGGTGAAAAGCTAAGAGATGGAGCGATCTTGGTGTAACAGGTACCCAGTCCCCTTGGAGGCCAAGGATCACAGCCGTCAGGGCTGGGGAAGCAGAAAACCCTCTCTTATGTGGACAGAGCAATACCGAGGTGCAGGGAAGCTGAGGAGGTGAAAGGGAGAGAAAGAAGAAATAAAAGGGAGAGGATGAAAGACAAAGGGAGGGAAGGAAAAAAAGAGTAATCATGGCAGGTATTGTTTGAGGGCTTTCTGTGCTTCTGGCATCACGTTCATTCTATTTTGTTGCTAGATGATGCTATTCTATCTTCACAACATCCCTAAGAGTAGGTATGAGTGCTAGCTCCAGAAGAAACACAGGAAGTGGGGCGAGGAGACAGCGTGAGAAAACCCACGTCCCTCCCGAACCCACAGCCTCAGCCGAGTGGCCACGCTGCCCCCCAGGAGCCGCAAGCAGAGCTGAGCCTCATTGTTTAACGTCAAACAAACAGATGGTGTTCACTGCAAAACTTAAATAGAATTAAGTCAGAATTAAATTAAAAATTCATATTTCTAGGCAGAAATGGCAAACGGAATTTGAAAATAGGGTTTTTAGCCTCTGTACTGTTCTTTGCTCGACTTGAACTACCAGGTTGACGGGCCTCTTGGTTTCTGCACAAGCCTCATGTCTGAGGGCAGAAATCCAGAGGCATCCTCCTGCAGCAGGAGAAGTCACCGGGAGACTGCGCCGGGATCAAGAGGCCTCTCCAGGAGAGCCTGTCCAACTCCTGGGTGCAACGGATGGGGCCGGGGCTGTGGGTCTGAGCTGCTGTCTGGCTCCGTGCTGTCTCCTCCCTGAGCCCCTCTTGTCCCCGCCTTGCCTCCTTCAGAGCCGGCCTTTTGGAAATGAGGGCGTGCTGATCATGAGAGAAGGGACTGCAGGGACGTGGAGGGTCGGGAGATTAGTGACGGGCAGCCCTCTTGGTCTCTGGAGAGGTAACAGGGAAGGGGCATCAGCTAAGGTGCAGAGCTGACGTCTGGAAGATGGGGTAAGGATGACCGTGAACGCTCAGCTCACTGGCAGGCTTAACATCCTAGCGACTGTCGTGTGAGGCAGAGAGAGAATGAAACAGAGAGGAAAGGATGCGCTGGCAAGACAGGTGGAGAGGGAGACCGAGAAGGAAACAGAGCTGGAGAACGAGAAAGAGGGAGGAACTGTCTAGCTGTCCAGCCCAGGAGTTCCCAGGGTTTCCAGAGCCAAGGGAACAAAGCCCTGATGAGGGATAGATATTCGGTTACAGAAGTGAGGGCCTGGTTCGGCAAGGTTCTGCAAGAACGAGTTCTGCAGGCGAGGATGGGACACCACGCCCGGGGCCCAGGAGACAAGCCAGCAGAAGGGGCGGGGAGCCTGGCTTTCAGAGGAAACAGGGGCTCCAGAGGGAAGGCAGAGTCTTTTCCTGAGTCACCGCCTGGCCCCCCAGCGACCTGGCTGAGTGGAGCAGCACACAGGAGTCAGTCTGGCCAAAGGTTTGGCAAGGGAGCGCACCTGCTGCAGCCCGAAGGCCAGACCACTCCGTGGGGGCTGGCAGGGAGGTCTGGCTGCCTGCCTTGAAGTCAGCTTTTCGGAGCAGACAGACCAGGACAGCCTGGCCCTGCGTGATATCCTGCCTCCGTCAGGGTGTTAGGTTGGGGAAGTTTCTTCTAGCACAGTTTCTATATGGTGAGCTTCTGGCTGAGGCCACTGGGGCCAGGCCAGAGTGAAACTAGAATGCCCTCCTGTCCTCCCCATTTCCTTCCTGAGCCCTACCTGCCCCCTGCCCCTGTGCCTGACTCTCTTCCAATGACTGAGGACAGCTTATAGTATAGTACCTGTTGGGAGGGAGGGGACTCCTTATATCTAAACAGGATCAAAGTCTAGTATTTAGAAGAAGCACTTTCCAGCTCTCTTTGCTTCCCAGAGAAACACCCAGCTGCTGATGATACGGCGGCACTGGAGAAAGGGCACCAATCCAAGAAGTCAAAGGTCACCCTTGACTTTTTCAAGATCCCTCATGCGTCCCTGGGCGGCCTCTGGACCTCAGTCACCTATTTTTAAAATGAGGAAGTTGGATGGGGTGCCAGGTCTAGACCAGCTCAGATCCCAGAACAACTCGAAGGCCGGAAGCATAAAGATCTAACAGGCAGGTAGAGCTGAAAGGGTCTCCTGGTAAGCAAAGAGGTCTCTGTAAAGCACTCAGTGGGACTGTCTCTGAAATCACCTGCTAAAGACAGCTCTGTGCATGGCGGGGGGCGGGGGTAGAAAAATGTGAAAACCACCACTAAGAATTCAATATCTCAGCCTTCCTTTTTCTTGAAAAAATTGATTTTTAGGATTAACTGGATGAGTTTCAAAGGTTTTGGTAAACAGTTGGGGCCCTCTGCTCCCCAGTTTAGGCTGCAAGTGTATCTTTAGCTATTTCTCTTTGAGCCACTGGGGTGTGGGGAGACCAGGCAGCCAGTTTGAGCAGAACAGAGGCAAAGGTATTATATTTAGGGCATCACTGAGATATCATGCCTGGTGAGTTTTGATAATGATCCCGATAACAACCAAATGCATTTTCTGTTGCATTATACATGGTGCTTTCACTTATATTGTCTCATTTCAATCTTTGCAACAGCTCTGAGAGGTGGATTAATATTAACCCCATCTTGCCAAAAAAAGTGGTTTAAGTGAGTAGTTTTCAGGTCTCAGAGCCCACGAGAGGCGAAGCTGGGGCTCCGTGTTAGAGATGGGGCTTTCAATTCTGTACTCGGTCCACAGTGACTAATTTTAGTTGACTGTAATGAACTTGTACCTCAAATATGAGATCAAGGGAAAGAAAAATCCTTTCTTTCAGGTGAGGTACAGGTAGAAATTTGCTCCAGCTAAATACAGCACTTTGTCAGCATGTTCAGGCAAAAAGGTGGCAAGTTTGGCTGAAAGATGCAAGTTTTCATTTACTAGTGTTGGTATCGACGACTTTGAAGTTCTGAGAACCAATGGGCTTCCAAACCTTAAAAAATCAAGTAGCTGATTTTTATAGCTGCCCGTCAAGAGAGGGAGATTTGGGGGGACTGGTTCCATTTCAAAAAGCCTAAAATTGAGGGAGCAGTTGCGTTTCTAGCAATCACTCACAGGAAATTATTCGGAAGTCTAGAAAATGGTCACCCACAGTGTTAGAGATATTGGGCCTACTGTCCAACTGTAGCAGATTGCGTAAATATACTTTTATACATTGGTACCGTAAAGTATTATGATTTTTATTGGTAGCATGTTTTGGAAGTATTTTTTTTATTGTATTTTATTTTTTTGGTCCCACCACATGGCTTGCGGGATGTTAGTTCCCCAACCAGGGATCAAACTTGGGCACTCGGCAGTGAAAGCGCCGAGTCCTAACCACTGGACCGCCAGGGAATTCCCTGGAAGTACTTTTAAAATTGAGGTACAGCTGATGTTTTCGAAGTTTTTAACAACATAGAAAAATGCTTATGAAGTGGCACTAAATGAAAAAAGCAGGACAAAATACTGTGCACTTCGGGTGAGCTCGACTATATTCTAAAATATATATAAGCAAATGTGAAAAACTAGAAGCGGTTATCTCTGAGTGGTGGGGTTACTGTTTCTTTGTAAATCTTTTTTTATACTTGACTCTTTTTTTTTTTTCCACAAATGAGCATGCAAAGTTTTTATATTGGAAAAAAAATCCCTATGATTAAAAACATAAAATTAATAGAAAACTCTGCTTTGTAAGATGAGATAAATAGGTTCTTGACTCTTAGAAGAACGATTGTTAGCTAGTTCATGTTTGCTTTAGGGAAGTCGGGGAGTCTCAAGGAAAGCCAGGCTGGGTACCCACAGAAATGCCTCCAAATCCTTGGGGCAAGCTTTTTGGCTTTTCCTGTAGTAAAAATGGGCGATTTACCCAGTTTGGCAGTTTGGTGTACTGCCAACCAGTGGCAGTTTGCACTCCAACCACATGATAGCTGTGTGACCACAGGAATGTCCCCAACCTCTCTGAGAGTCAGCTTTGTCATGTGTAGCACAGCCACAGGGGCCCTTACCTCATGACCAGAAGAAAAAACAAGAATCCTAGCAGGCCCAGAAATATGTATTACATCCATTTTCTCTAACTCCATTTTAAAGATGAGGGAATTGCGACTTAAAGAGATTAAGCTGCTCACCCAAGATCACAAGTGGTGTCAAATTCAAAGATGGGCCCCCGGCTTCAGAGACTGGGCTGCCTCCACTCTGCCAGGCAGCCTCAGGCGGATGAATGTACTTTGTGGCCTGAAAACAGGCCACACCCACGTGGGCTGCTGGGATGATGACAACACAGCGTATTATTTTGTTGTGAATTCCAAAATGCTTCTGTGCTGATATATTTAGAACCTTCTGTGAAAGATGAGACTGAAAAAGATTGCTGATTAGATTCTGTTTTGATTTGGGAAGGGAAAAGTGCCTGCCACAGAAATCTAAGTTCCTGCTGGATTTAGCCTCTTAAGAAGGGTCTATGGGGAAGAGGGTCTAGACAGACTGGGTTTGATTTCTCACTCCCAGATTTCTAGCTCTGTGACCTAAGGCAAATTGTCTCCCCTTCTGGAGCCTCAGTTTCCTCATCTGTAAGTGGGAACAGTAATCCCTATAGCTCATGGGGGTGGTCCTGATATTAAGTGGGATGATGTAGGTAAAGGTGCTCTATTCCAGTGGGCAGACCACTTGGGATCATGAGTTTGGATCTCCCTGGGCCTATTTAACTAGCCTGGAGGAGGGAATCAACACTGTTTCCCTTTACTAATATTATTATCCCAGCTTCTAAGAGCCTGAGTAGGGTTGGGCCTGGCAGCCTAAGTTTCCACACACCCTAAGTTTGCCCTTCGGAGTTGTGATTTGTTGTCAGTTCACTGGGCAGCCCCAATACTCTCCTCAATGCCCCCCTTGGTCAACCTGGCAGAAGTCCTCCTGGACTAAGCTGCTCCAGCCTCTCTTTAAGCCGGTTTTTCGGAAGTCAGGTCACAGGGCCCCCTTGGGCATCCTTCATATTTCCGACTCGCTCCCATCCACCTGCCTGAGTCCAAACCCAACCAGGGCTGAGGTCCTGGTCAGGACTGTCCCAACTCAGCCCCACAGGGGAAGAAGAGCAAAAGAAGCCACACTCACTGGTCTGCTACCAGGCAGGGAGGCAGTGGGCATATTGGAATCCCACAGGGGCAGACCCTGGGTGGGGGAGGAATTGGGCTTCCTGAGTAGGCTGAAAGGGGAAGGGAAAGGGGGAGCAGAGGATGGGCTCCAACCCCCAGCAAACTCAGGGACTGGGGGGAAGAATGGGGTAATGCCCACCAGACAGGGTGACCAACCACCCCAGCTGGCCGAGGACTGATGGGATTCCAGGGCTTTCCATGCTACAACTGGGACAGTTTTAGACTCTGCCAGTAAAGGGCTGTGTGACCCTGGGCAGGTCTCTCAGTGCTCAGGGACGGCCTCTTCTGTGAAAAGAGAACTGGACCAGCTCACCTCTACAGGATGCTTCAACTCTGCCACCTGGCCTGTAGCCCCAGTAGCAGGTGGTCGTCGGGAGGGTTTGGAGAGGTGCAGAGCTGGGGAGGGGAGGCCGGTGGGGGGAGTCCAGCGCCTCAGGGGCACTTCTAATCCAGAAAGACTTTTTCGACAAGGAGCCCAGAGCTGCCGGTCTGGCACTGGCCCCCTCCCTCCCGACTGGCAGGATTGGGGCGGGGCGGGGCGGGGGCGGCAACAGCGCGACTGCCTGGTGGGCCTGGGCTGTGGGCTCACAGAGGGCCCGGGTTCCTACCTGCAGGTGGTTTGGGTACACGTCACCCTCGGAGAGCGAGTCCACCAGGTCCTCCTCGTCCAGCGTAGCCCGCTTGTAGGTCGACATCTGCAAGGCCAAGTGCAGCATGGACTCTCTTAGCGCCTCCATGGCTCTCACGCCCGAATGGGGAAGCGGCCACTCGCCGCCTCCGCTGCCGCGCCCCGCCCCGGCCGGGACACCGAGACCGGCCCACGGACCGGCCCGCGGCGGGGGAGGGGGGTTCCCGCCTCCCTCCGTCACCCCGCTCCCCGCTTATTCAACACCGCGCCTCACCCCCAGCGCCGACAGCGCGGCGGCCACCGGCCACGGCGGCCACAGGCTCCGCATGGTGCCCCCCGCGGCGTCCGGATCGCCGCCGCCGCCGAGCGCCCTCGGGTCTGGCCCGGGCGGGTCCGGCTGTGAGGCTGGGCCGGGCTTCGCACCACCTTCGCGGGCGGGGCCTGATCGGCGCGGCTCCGGTTCCCTCCCTGGCCGCGCGGGGGAGACCACCCCAGGGCCGGAGTCCCCGGGGAGATGGAGGCTGCTCCCTTTCCCAGAGATGGGGTGGAGGGGCCTTACCCCAGCAGGCAGGAAGGGGGCTCGCAGCAACCCCTCCTTCGAAGAAACATTAAGCTCCCCTTCAAATAAACCTCTATGGCAGATACCAAAAGTCAGGTATTAGGAAAGTGCCCCTAATTTGGCCTACAACAGTCAAGAAAGAGGTTCCTCACCATTGTCCCTTAGGGGCCCCAAGAGCGGTCTTGCCCATTGGAGCTAGAAAGATTGGGGAAAAAAAGAGGTGGTATAAAAAAGGCATGTGCCTCCCCTCTCATTTCCGCCATCCTCTAGCTCAGGGGTCTTTAAGTCAGAGTTCATGATGATCTCAGAAAATTCCAGAGAACTCTCCTGACCTAGAATGAAAAATGTTATGTGTGTGCGTTTGGGTGGCTGGAGGGGAATCCCATGCGTGTCTCCAGGCTCACAGGTGTGACCTTGCCCTCAAAACATTAACAGCTTGGGGCCTAGTTGAAAATCAGGAAGGTGACCCTTCCCTCAGATGTGGGGTGCTCAGGCACTCTCCCTCCCACCCGAGACCCCAGACAACCCTAACCCTGCAGTTTCCCAAAGGACCCTCCGTATCCAGTGAGACCTGGGATCCCCCGCATTTATACATTTTTTTCAGCTTTCCAAAGTGCGCCTCTGTTCATTCCCATATTTGACTCTCACAGTCACACGTGTGTGAAGGAACAGGCACAGAGGGCTGAGGTGACATCCAGGGTCACAGCCACAGTAACAGCTCCTGAGGTCTCCTGGCTTCGCCTTCTGCCTTCTTATAGCCCTCTCTGCAGCCGGAGCGAGCCTTCAACAGGAAATTCTGATCTTGTTACCCTTGCTTCAAACTCTGCAGGGACAGTCCCTTTACCAGTCCCCCATGGCCCCTGCTCACCCTGACCCTCATCTTGTGCTGCTCCCACCTCACTCACTCAGGCCCCCAATTCTCTGGCCCTTCCTCTGTTCCTCAGATTCTCCAAGTTTCTCCTTCCCTTAAGACCTTTATAGCGCTGTTGCCTCTACCTGGAACATTCTTTCCTCATCTCTACTCCTCCCATGGCCGGCTCCTGCTTCAGATGTCAGTTTAAATGTCACCTCCGCAAATATCCCAAATTCTCGATTACGGCATCCCATTTTCCCCTTCATAGTATTTACTGCAGTCTGTTATTTATTTATTTATGTTGGTTTTTAGGTCTATCTCCTTCCCCCTCCCCAGAATTGTGAGTTTTATCAGGGCTGGGACCTTGTCTGGCACAGAGAATCCCCATCACCTGGCATACCACAGGTGCTCAATAAACTTAAAATGAATGGTAGAACAATTAGAGGGGAAGTGAAAATTACTCTGGGGAAGTGCCTTTGAATCCCTGTGCATCTAATTTTGCAATGCCCAAAGACAAAGGAAACATGTCTAAGCACCCTGGGAGAGGCAGGGTGCGTGGGAAGAATTTGAATTCTGGGGTCTTCTGCTCCACTCCCACTGGGTGCAGGACTTCCCATTACCCACCTGAGAGAGAGAAAGGGCTCCCAGGCTGCTTCGTTTCATGCTGGGCTACAGCTGGGCTTTTTCTGAAATCAGGACTCTCAGCTACACTAAGCAACAGGTGTTACCTGCCCCAGGAAAAGACCCTTGAAAAAGAAATTCAAGTCACCAAACATCTCTACTGCCTGGCACAGCAGCTACTATTTCCTAGGCACCTAGGGGTATGAGGTGTTTGTCAGTTCTTCTACATCCATCATCTCATTTAAGCTCTTGGCTCTGAAGCAGGTATTCCTGGCCCCTTTTACAGAACCTGAAACTGAGGCTCGGGGAAGTAACTTGCCCAGGTGTAGTGAAGCAACGGCTCCTCCTTCCGTCTCAGCTCAGAGGTCAGCCCTTCCGGAAAGCTCTCCTGACCATTCTTCTCTGATCCCAAGCAGCATCTGGCCTCCTGCTCTGTATCCTCCGCCTCCCCAAGCCCCCCATCCCATGCTTCCTCCTATTGAAAGCGCACAGCACCTTAAGTAGGAGAACCTTGAAGGCAGGGGTTGGGTCTCATCAGGCCTTACATCCCCAAAGGCCTAGCCGGGGGCTGGAGCCTCCACAGGCGTCTGAGCGAAGGTGAGAAGCGAAGGAGGAGGCTGGCAGCCCATCCCAGGGGCCGAGGCCAGCCTGTCCGTGGAGGGATGACGAGGGAAGCTCACATACCTCCCGAGCAGAAATCCAGAAATCCGCTGAGACGAAGAGCTGTTTATTTTTCAGCACACAAAAGATGAGGGGCCCTTCCTGAAATGCTGCCGGCCCGGGGCTGGGGAGTGAAACTGAACCCACCTCAGACGTGGGAATGGCTTAGCTGGCTCTGCCCCATGGGGAGCACAGTGGGCCCCAGTCAGCGAGTGACATTCCAACGACAGGGCAGCCCTATCTCTTACCCGCCAGGTTCTGGGCGGGGCCTTCCACACAATGTCTTGCTGGATCCCCACACCCACCAAGAGCCCCAACCTCAGCAGGTATCACTTCCCTTTTAGGAGAAGTGGGAGGGGACTAGGCAGGGAGAGGGGCTGGGCAGACCAGACACCTAGAATGAGCCACTGGGCCCAATGTATCTCTCCCGACCCCGTGAAGCCCTGTGAGGTGGCGATCACCACCTCCACTTTACAGAGGAGAAGACTGAGGATTGGGGAGGTGGCGGCACACACCGTCCCCCGCCCCTACTGCCCCCCGCCCCTGCCCCAAGTCACCTGGCTAGAGAGTGAGATGCCAGGATGTGAATCCTGGCTGCCTGACCTCACCACGCTGCCTCCAGAGAACCCCAGGCACTCAGCTAGTAAGGGGCAGCACTGGGCCTGAAACCTGGGTCCTGGCCCCCTGGTCCCGTGCTCTTTGTGGAGGGGGAGCTGCTTCTTCAGGTGGGACCTCGTGGAGTCCAGAGGCGCTGAGTGGCAGGGCAGCCAGCGCCGTTCTCCCTAATTGCCTCATTTGCGGTTGTGGGGATGCCCGCAGCCAGGGAGCTTCAGGGAAGGGGAAGAACCTCTGCTGCTCTGGGGGGAGTCTCTGCCTCGATCTGCTCGCTCCTCTCCCAGCTCCGCTGAGCCCCTGGATGTGAAATGTGGGCCTGGTGTTCGTGTGAGAAGGGCTTGGCGGAGACCAAGAATGGAGGAGTGGGAACCACGGTCCCCAGTCCTCCCGCTACACAGAGAAGGTGAGGAAAGCCAGATGGAGGGTGTGATGGTGCCCAGCTCTGAAAACCCCACCCTGTGGAAATCAAAGGCCTGGGGTGAACAGAAATGAGAAGTACTATAAATGCTCGTGTGTTTCTGACAACAAAGTCCTCTGGCCCAGGGGCAGGGCACTGGGTGTGATCCCACCGGGGATTTGCCCCGACTATGTTAGTCACTCAGATGGCTCTTGGGGTTGGTTTGCTCAAGGGCGGGGGTATCTTCCAAGAAATCTAGGAGCCCGTCAGGGGCAGCTGTAAGTGAAATTCAGAGGCTTGCGACTCCGTGGCCACATCCTCTGAGCCATTTTCACATTCTGTTTCTAAGTTTCAGCTCCTTAGGGATGCTGCCCTTTGTGGCCAAAGCCCCCATCAGTTCTTGCCTCTCGTGCCAGTAATTAGTTGAGATCTGTTGACTCTTTACATGTTATCTAATACACACTCAGGTTATATGTTAGTTAAATACTTACACTTAACAAGCACCATGATAGAGTGAGTAAAAGCTCTAGTTCCAAACCTCAGTTCAGATCCCCACTATGCCACTTCCCAGTTGCGTGAGCCCGGGCAAGTGACTCAGGCTCTCTGTGCCTCAGCTGTCTCATCTGTAAAACGGGGATGAAAGTAATAGCACCTCGCTCGTAGGACTGTTGTGATACTTAAATGGTTAATATAAAGTGCTTAGAACAATGCTGGGCACACAGCATGTGCCCACCAAGCGTGAGCTGTTGCTATGTGTACCATCAATTCTTATAAAACACGAGGCTCAAAAGCCTGCAATAGATCCCCACCACCTAAAGAACAAAACCCAAACTCCTTAGCTTGGCATTCAAGGCCGCCTGGCAATTGGCCCAAACCTACCTCTCCAGACTCACCCTTTTCACGTACCTCTCAGGTATGTGGCCGTCACCCTGACCCCTGATCTATCCCTCACTCAAAAGGAGTTTTCTGAGTTCTTGATGTTTGTCAGGCCCTGTGCGGCAAGCTGAGGGGCAGCCCTGAGTAGGACTTGGTCCCTACCCTCAAGGGACCTATGTTTCCCAAGGCTGTGCCCCCTCCACCCCAACTACTGCTCTCCATGACTGGCCTACCTCCTCCTCCATAAAGTCCCCCGCCTCAGTCAGAGGGAATTATGCCCTTCCCTCTGGTGTACCCCCGGCATAGCACCTGCATTTTGTTCAGGCCTTTCTGTCTCTCTGTCTTTATCCCAGGGATGGACCTGGGGGGGATGGGCAGCAATCATTTTATTTCCCCCCATCCCTGGTGTCCAGCACAGAACCTGGTATATAGATAACTGGTTAATTTGTATCCAAGATTTTCACCAAGGCAAAGGCATCTGTGCGT